TTGCTTTCCAGTTGCCAATTAAGTCTGGTCAAACCAAGGTTCCTTTGAAATTGTGTTTGAATTTATCTTTATTGTTGACCTTCCATTTGAGTCAGTAGCACATCACCACCGGGATATGGCTTGATTCCTCTATGGTGTTTAACGTCTGCTTATAACATCACATCAGTAGTATTTGTGTCATTATAACCTTTTTGTGGCAAAAAAACAATTGTATAGCGCCCTCTGGTGGTATGTGCTTGTGTCTCTTTATTAAAGGACTCAAGTATGAAAACTATTTCACAATAATTAAGTTATTACAAGATATTTTTGTGATACTGTGCTGTTTTACTCACTTCATGATAAAAATACTAACAAAAAATCTGTTGTGATATTAATGTAATTTGGTATGTACACAGCTTGTCCGACATGTGCTGACTTTGAAGAATTGGAAGATCAGATGAAAGAGATGAGACTGACAATAAAAAAACAAAAGATGACCATTGATGACTTAATTGAAAGGGTAAAGTTCAGAAAAATATTTATTTTACTTCTATTACTTCTTTGAACCGTTCTAATTTTGCTGGAGATAATTCAGAGGAAATTCTGGTGACTGGTGCTAATTTTTTTTAGAGAAAATGCACTCTTTTTGTTCACCAATTTGTCTCAAGCTTGATATGATGATTTTATTTATTAGTTGCCTGATGCATGTACTGTTTTTTTGCATTTCAATTCAAAATGGCCAAGCCATGGCCATTTTATTTCTTGGTTTAACACCTCCATTTCATAGACCGATTTAGTTCAAACTTGCTACAGTGACAGGTCAGAATGTTAGTTTTTTTCAATTGACATGTTTTTTATTTAAAATTGCTGCTTTAAAATGTCCATAATTTCAGTGCCCCATTAAACTTTTTCAAACATACATTGATCAATTTTGTTTATGGTTATTTAACCAATGAGAGATAAACTTGCTAGACATTCAAGATAATTCTATTTTAAACATTTTAGTAATAACTGAGACATGTCTGATCGAATTGCCATTATGTACTGACAAATTTTCAATTTTTATTACTTACTAGTATATATGTTGAAATGATAATTATTTTTATTCATACACCGCATAATGCTATCACCTGAACTGATTCTGTTGATATAAACTTAGTGCTTCTACTCCTGTGCATTATAATATTCACAGTCATGTATTGACTGATCATCCACACACTTGGTATGATGATTGAACATGCAGGGTAGCATTTTCTCACATTCTGATGGGCAACTGACGGTGATTTTCTTTTTTGTGTTTTTGAAGAATGCACTTCCG